ATTTTCATTCAGAAGTCTGTGTTCTCTTACAACACAGTGGGCAAACGCACATTTCTGCAGTCCACCTGCTGTGCTCACACCTGAAAATCTGGCCTTAACTTTAGCTAGTGAGAGAAGATGAGGAAATTTCAAAGGAACCTAAGGGAAAAGTTAGGCACCCCAATACCACAGAAATTCATTCGATTCAGGTACCTAGCTCCCTCAGGCTTCCTTGACAATGGCAGTCTAAAACTTTAATAAAATCAAAGTTAATTTCCAGATCTGTCTCACGTGGACTCAGGGCTCTTTCTCCACTGTAGTAGAAACAGACCCCTTAAAGTTTTTTATTCCTAACCTAGAAGTTGGATAATAGCCTTTGATTTTGACTGTACAGATAGCCCCTCAGATTCCTTATGGCTCTTTTGAAATACTGCATAAGCCATTGCAGTGAAGTCAGCATTTCAGAAAACACTCTTAACACAAACAAAAAAAAGCCAAAAAAGCTCTAGAGACCCAAGCAGGACTCATTTTTCTGACATTGCTTACATGTATGTATTATTCAAAAATCCTGACTTCTTTGGTTCTTTCCTTCCTTTCCCATACCATATATGGTTTGAGAAGCCAGAAATATTTTGTATGGTAATCTGATAATCTTGTGTTGGCTGATAACTAGATAGTTCAGTAGTCCTCAGAGGAATCCTATCTATATTGGATTTAGTAGTTAAAATAAAATAAAAAGTTTACCAAAGTTGATTTTCACACAATAGCAGATACAAAATCTCCCTTGTTAGGAGCAGAGCTCTTTATTAAAAACATCCATTCCTGACAGAGGTAGAATAAACAATAAATATTGTTTTTAAAAAAATCTCACCTGTGTTTCCAATAGCATTTCAGATTACCAAACATGAAAGCATTTTCAGAAGCAATCATTTGCACTTATATCTCTAGCCAATTTCAATTCCTGGTTCTGAGGTAACAGCTGAGGTGTTGCATTTGAGTTCACAATAATGCAGAGGAACGTTTAAAACAAAAACAAACTGCTACTCTTTTTTTAAATCATTGTTACATAAAAATAATTCTTTTCTATACTAAGTTTTGGTAGCTTGAGGAACTGGCTTAGTGAAGAAACAGATTTGTAATACAATACTTAGAATTTCTCAAGTCAACTCGTTGTATGCAAACGTAGCTATAGCCATGTTGGTACCAGGTTATTAGAGAGACAAGCTGGGTGAGGTAATCTCTTTTATTGGACCAACTTCTGTTGGTGAGAGAGACAAGCTTGAGTACCTCTTATGTGCTTCTCATCGACAGAAGTTGGTCCAATAAAAGAGACTACCTCACCCACCTTGTCTCTCTAGAGACAATTCAGTGCTTTATCCTTGAGTAATAGTATACTGAATGCATAAAAGTGAAAATGAGAGAGAGAGAAGAAAACAGCAATAGTTTGTAATACTTCTATACTGCATCAACTCTTTCAAAATATTCCAGGAAGTCACCACTAAACCTCCCTTCATAGATCTGGGACTCAAAACTGCTGCAAATTCTATTTCTTCCCCTAGCATTTCTGCTCCCTTACGCATGTTATTCTCAGTTGGCTGCATTGCCCATCCCATTGTATAGCTTCCTAGTAGGAGTTTGTCACTGGAACCTACTGGGAATTAAGGAGCCTCCATCTTTTTCCCTCTCCCCAGGATCCTGATAAAAATAATTCAGTGGACCCACCATATAGACCTCGTCGCATGTTACCAAAATATCATTACATCACCACATGCTTCCTGAAAGTTAAAAAGCACATACCTTGCATTACTGCCAATTTAAAGGTGGTAAAAATCTAGTTATCCATTACATCCGTCTGCTCTGACATGCACCTACTTCCCATACACACATTAAAGTATGTATAGCCTAGCAGCTCCTCTGTTCACCCATTCAAACCAGCGTGAATCCAAAATCCAAGTAGCATCCTCTATTGAAGAGAATCTCAGGGCTTAGTCAGTGGAGCATTCTATATTCAGAGTAGAGGAATGGTATTTAAAACACTATCCTCAAAAAGCAGCAAAAAGAACACAAGACACTGCCATGCAAAATGACTAAAGTAAAAAAAGTTTGTCAGATCATTGTCATGTGAAACAATAGGCATTTTACTCCATCTGCCCTTTCACTGGACTAAATTTGATTACAACTATACTCTCTATCAGGGGAACATCACATATTGATATTCTGGAATACATTTTCCATGCAGTTCTCAACTAACCATTGGGAGAAACAATCTATATGTCCTTCAGATACCACTATTGGCAGCTACTTAGCTTGCACAGTAGTTTATTGTGAAGTTCATAGTAATGTTGGCAAGAATAGAGTGCTCAAGTATCATGGATGTATAGACTGCCTGTGCTGGCAGCAGCAATGGTGGCCTTCATGGAGCAGCAAGAGTAAGCCAAAAGCATGAAGTCTTTTCCCCTGGTTTGTGTTTGTAAGCCTGCACGGGATCAAGATGCACAGAGGTGAAAAATGTTACTTCACATTAGGAAGGAGAGTTCAAGCTACTGCTACATTTGGGATGTTCCACCCATGTATCTAAGGGCATGTCTACACTACAAATTTAAGTCCGCATATAGCTGCCGCAGTAATTACTGTGGTTTTTCATGTCTACATTACCCTCCTTCTGTCAGTGGAGCACATCCTCACCAAGAGCACTTGCACCGATTTAAGAGGGGCAGTGTGAGGGGCTGAGAGCATGGACTCTCAGCTCTTGGTGGAGCTCACTGCTCCAAGCCCAGCTGTCGCCCCGGCTCCCAGCTCCAAGCCCAGATGACAGCCGGGCTCAGAGCGGGGACCTGAGAGCCCAGGCAGCAGCCAGGCCACCTAAGTTCCCTGTAAGCTGCGCAGCCGCACGGCAGCCTATTTAGTGCTGTGCAGGCACTCAGGGAACCTGCCTGGGACTTGCTGCAGCCAGGGGAGGGGGGTCACTCCCCCGGCTCCTACCTAGCCCAGAGCCACCCAGAGGATTCAGGGGGCCCCCGCCGCCGAATTGCCGCCAAGACCTGGTGCTTTGGCGGCAGGTCCCGGGGCGGAAGGACCCCCCCGCTGCCGAATTGCCGCCGAAGACCCGGAGCGGAAGAAGTTCTGGGGGCCCGGGCCCCATGAGAGTTTTCCGGAGCCCCCAGAGCGAGTGAAGGACCCCACTCCAGGGGCCCCGAAAAACTCTCGTGGGGGCCCCTGTGGGGCCTGGGGCAAATTGCCCCACTTGCCCCCCCCTCCCCCGGATGGCCCTGACCTAGCCTGGCTCCCAACCTGCCGTGGCAATGGCACCCCTCCCCCCGAGCCCAGGAACAGCCCAGGCCAGCCCCAAGAGGGCCAGGGCGGCCCAGACCCAGCCACAGCCAGGGCAGCCCTCCCCCAGCCCAGACCTGCTGGGGCCGGGGGAGGGGCACCTATCTTGCAGCCCCAGAGCTGCTGCTGTGGGGAGAGGTGCCTCTCCCCCTTCCCCCCCCCAAGCCCAGGTGCTGCTGCGGAGAGAGAGAGCTGGGGGGATTCCTTTCTCCCCGCCATAGCCCCCGAGCAGCCTCCTGTACCCAAACCCCTCATCCTCAGCCCCACCCCAGAGTCCGCACCCCCAGCCGGAGTCCTCACACCCCAACCCTCTGTCCCAGCTCCCTCCCACACTCCAAACCCCTCAGCCCCACCCCCACCACAAGAATTTTGTTATGTGCACCAATACGGAGGTGATGTGTGACACATCACCTCCATATTGGTGCACATAACAAAATTAATTCCGCACATGGGTGAGAAAAATTAGAGGGAACACTGCCCCACTCCCCATCCCCCCCCCCCAGGCACCCTGGGGTGATAGCCTGAGCTGCGATCCTGGCAGGGGGTCCACAGCAGGGAGCCAACAGCCTTTCTTGTCAATTTCACAGCTCCAGTCAGGAGCCCTGAAATTGACAGTTATGACTGCCACAGCTGATCTAAGGAACACAGTGTCTACACAGACACTGCAACACTTTACCACCAACAACATAGGCCCTACCACTCTCATGGAGGTGGAGTTATTATGGTGGTGTAGTAGGGCACTTACATTAGCGGGAGCAAGGCTATAGACACTGACATAACTGGGTCGACTTAAGCCATACATCATCTTAACTCTGTAGTGTAGGCTTGGCCTAAAACAGGGAAGAACAAAAGTCATACTGGGCATGATCCTACTTCGATTGAAGTTAATCACAAAATTCTCATTGACTTCAGTGGAAACAGGATCAGACCCACTCTTTCCAAGAACTGGGTAACCAGACTAAATATCCTCTATCTTGTTAAGCTACGACATGACTGAGAAAGAGAGAAAATATACTATTAAACTTGCCAACAGGTCATTGTCAGCCGATGATATCAAATGGACTGAAATCAGCAGAATATTTTAACTACTTATTCAGGTACCCTCAGATGTTAAGTTCTCCTTCTCTTTTCACTGCAAGATACAAGCATACCTTGCAGCACTGGACAACTTGTGGATCTGATCTGTAGAGTGCAGTACATTTATGGCCTGGTTTTCAGATGTGCTCATTCAAGTTGTTGAATAGCTGCAAGCCTTAGCCTTGTCCAACTTTTTGATCGATTAAAAAAAAAAAAACTTAATTGAAGCTGAATCACACACAATTTTTAGAAAAGGAGGTAGTCTATTAATATCTTTAAAAGATGTTAAATTGCAATCAAAAATTAATTAAGATACTTCAAAAGTCATAACCCTTCCACCTCACCCTGCTCTCATCATTCCCTCCTGAAGTTACTATGGAATACTTGCTTTAAAACAAGTGAAATGGAAAAATGTTTCCTAGTCAAAATAATTTCTAGCCTCTGTAGTAACTGACACTTAAGTAAAAAAATAAACCACTGAAGGGAGGGCAGAAAAAAAAAAAAAAAAAGTGTGTTTCCCTCCTAGTCTCTGAAGAAGTGAACCTTACAGCAGTTAGTACTGTCAGATGCGTTAATATAACTTACAGATTGCAATTTCAGACATATATACTTACCAAAGTAGTCAGCCTTGGGACGAGCATCCATCTCTTGCTCCAGACGCTGGGTAAGTGCTTCTAATTTTAATTCAGCTGCAGACGGCCCTTGTTCCTGCTGTGGAAGGAGGGTCTGACAGGGTAACTTTACTTTTGTAGAACTGGAATTTTCCTGGTGTCCTGAGTCATGCTGCAGACTGCTTATGCCCTCTTTAAATGGAGACCTTGGAGCATCAGAAATCATTGGCCCATGTGAAGCTACGCTGATGGAATTCTGCTCAGGACTTATGCCAGAGCCAGGACAATTAAGCCTGTGATTTTGACCATGAACTATGAAATGGGCTGTAGACTTGGGATAAGCACTGGCTTGCTGATAATCTACGCTTGGAGGCAATGGAGTAGGAGCTGAACTAGACGTGGAAGAACTAGAATTGTCATGGTACCATAACGAGCGGTCACGACTGGTTTTGTGTGGTATGCCAGAAGGTAGCATCTCACTCTCAGGGTTTGGGCTAAATTGATCAGACAGACCTGAAAACCCTTGTGCAGGCAATGTTGATGGGGCTGAGAATGAGGAAGATCTCTGCTGTGGAAATCCCACTGCTGTCTCATCATCAAACCCTGTAGAAGTTGAAAAGGGGGTCAAAGTATGTGAGAAAGAGGAAGATCTCTGACCAGTTGAGTTTTGGTCATAGCCTCGACTGAGTCTGTTGCTTTCATTCCCATTTTCCTGGCTTCCATACCCACTTTCAGAAGACCTGCAGGAGCTCAGTGACTTCTGATGCTGGTAAGGGTGAGGATCAGCTTGGGTTTTTGTAGGACTCCTTGGTAGCTGATCACTATGATTAACATTGGATCGTAAACTCCCCAAACCAGATTTTGGGATGGAAAACTTACCAGCATCTCCTCCCCAAGCAGGAATGCCTGTCTGATTCTCATTATAATGCTGTCCGTGGGGAAGAGAAGGAAAAGATGGCTTTGCAGTGCTGGGATCCACATGGGCTGCTCTGTGGAACCCATGTCCTTCAGAGACCTCAGAATCCCCCAGATTCTCTCTACAGCCATGTTCTTTGCTAGCTGTTTTGCCATCTTGGTATAATTTTGTTCGCTGCCCATCAGGAACAGCTTGTGGGTGATGTGGAAAAGCAAGCTGGTGCGCTGCACACACTGATGCTGTGGCCAGAGGAGGTTTGGCAATATTTTCTCCTGAATGCAATTTACTGGCCCCCGGAGTTACTGCAGGCACAGGATGGTTTGGAAACTGCTGCTGGACACTGAAACTGGCCCCACCATTTAGAGAGCCAGTGTCAGCCAACATCAGCTCCTCTTCTTGCTGCTGCTGCTGTTTCTGGAGATGAATTTTAGCCATTTTAGTGGCAAAAACTCTCCTGGTTTCCTCAAATTCCGGGTTGTTGCCAACAGCTTTGTCCACCCGAAAGAGTCCATCCTTGGAGGCTTCATACATATTGAGATCTTCTATAAATTTACTTGCCTCTAAGCCCAGATCATCATATTTATTATCCATTTTTGCAAATTCACTAGCCTCCCCCTCCCACGGCTAAACTTAATGAGGAAAGCTACAAGCCATACAGGACTATAGGAGCGGTTAGTACTGAATCCACTTTACTTTGTGATCCTCAGCTTCATGTCGGCTCGGTCCTCCACTCAGAAAAAGGTTACAAGAGTTTACGTGCTTTGTAAAAATAATCAGTTTTCTTGCATATGCAAAAACTGAGAAAAACAAACTTCAGGTTGTATCTCCCGTTAATAACTGGGTCAGAAGTAGCCGTATCTTCTTACCATAAGATGCAAGAAATGCAGCTTCAATTTTTATTGTAAATCTGGGGGTGGGAGGAACAGCCCCCTCGAAGAAGCAAGATCTGAAAGGGCTCCAGGAGATTTCCCGTTCCCCCTGCAATCAGGGCTTACTCAGCCTGAGCCCACTAACAGGACGGAGGCTAGAAAAGAAAGAGAGAGTTTGTAAGCGTCTCATGGAAACAGGCTGCAAACCCCTTCCCTCCCCAGCGGGAGGCCCAGTCACGGGGGGAGCGCGCAGCGCCTGAGGGGCGAGCTGGGGTCAGGTCTCTCACGCCGCGCGGGGCTGGGGGCCCCGGCCACACTCCCGGGGAAGTGGGGAGCAGCGGGAGAGTCAGTCCCCGCCCAGAGGCCACGGGGAGGGGCCAGGGTCTCGCTGCAGGACGGGCGGGGGGGGGTTGTTGCCAGGAGCCCCGGGCACCTCCTGGGGAGGGGTCGGGGGGAACCTCACGTAGCCTCTTCGCCTGCCCCGGCGAGGCGGCGGCGGCGGCGGAAGTTTCTCGTGCGGGAGCGGGGGCCGGGCGGACTCACGCGGGCTGGCGGGCGGGGCGCTGCTCGGGCTGGGGCTCCCCGGCGGCCGCGCTCCGTGACTCGGTGTCGCTTCTCTGCCCCGCCCGCGTGGCGGCCTCGCCCCCTTCCCGCGGGCGGGGGGCGGAGCCGGCCGAGCCCCGGGTGACGGTCCCGGGCTGGGGAGGGGGCGGCGGGGTAGCTGCTGCCTGTCGGCGCGGAGCCCTGCCACGGGGACGGACCCGCCCTGGCCCGGCTCCCCGCCGAGCCGGGACCCACCTGGCCGTGGCCTTTAGGCGCTGCTACCTCTCGCTGCGGCTGCCCAGTGCCTGAGGGCCCAGCGCTTTGCAAAGCCCCCCGGGTACAGCTGGCGAACGGGGGTCGGGATTTGCTCACAATCCCCTCCGAGCACCTTTGGCCCCTCGCTCTGCAAAGCCTCATGCCCATGCTGAACCCTCACCGCCGGCCGGATGCGGTGCAAACTCTGGCCCCAAACCCCGCGGGTTCCCGCGTGTAGTCAGACACCTGCATGGAGCGCCCACTGGCTTGGTGACTTGGAGGATGTAGAGAGTCTAGTCACCCTCAAAGGGACTTTTATTCAAAAGCAGTTTTCTTCTCTGCCTCCCTGTTAAAGCTGAGCATAAAGTTCTATTTTCTTTTTGCTGTGCTGTTTGGTGGTGGCCGCTTCCCTGAATAGATTAGTCATATTTGTTTCAGGTCAATTTACTTTCCAGTCCTTATGCACTAAACACAATTCAGGAATGGCCGGATTACAAACCCTGCAGTGGAATGTTTTGCTAAAATAAAAATAGACGAACCCAGTGGTTGGGAAGAAGCATAGTATGGGCCCAAGCCTGCTAAAATGCGCAACTTTCATAACTCACTGAGCAGCTACAGGGGAGGAAAATACAGACCATCTGTTTAACTCTCAGCAGCCATTTGTGAATACACAAAAACACCTGGCAATTGTCGATGCTTTTAGAAAGAAGTGGCATACTTTTTTTTTTTTTTTTCATTTTTGGCATAGGTATGCAGTTTTTCAATAATCCTAACAACCACCTACAGTCCTCATCATGGAACTCCACTGAAGTCCATAGGGCTCCAGGCAGACTTAAGGGTTTGCGGACCAGGAGCTCATTGCAGGATCAGGGCCTTAGGCCATGAACAGGCAACCACTTATGTACATTTGTGACTTTATTCACATGGGAAATTCCACTGACTTCTCCGATGAGTAAAGTTTGCGCTTGCATAAGTGTTTGCTATCTCGGGGTCATAGGCATGATCCAATGCAGGGTTCTGCTTGCACAGATCCAAAGATTAGAGGAGTGGTAAATAATGAAGAGGGTGCAAACAAGCAATATAATTTTAATGTGGCTAAATGTAAGTGTCTGTGGCTAGGAACAATGAACATAGGCCATACTTACATGATGGGGGACTTTATCCTGGAAATCAGTGTCTCTGAAAAAGATTTGGGGGTTGTGGTGGATAATCGGTTGAATATGAGCTCTCATTGTGACACTGTTGGCAGAAGAGCTAATGCGATCCTGGGATGCAAGAATAGGGGAATCTCGAGCAGGAGTAGAGAGGTTATTTTACCTCCGTTTTTGGCACTGCTGCAAACACTGCTGGACTATTGTGTCCAGTTCTGGTGTCCACAAGTCAAGAAGCATGTTGATAAATTGTTGAGGGTTCAGGGAAGAGCCCTGAGAACAAATAAGGGATTACAAAGCATGCTTATAGTGATCCACTTAAGGAGATCAATATATTTAGCTTAACAAAGACTTGATCACAGTTTATAAGTACCTACATTGGAAACAAATATTGGATATTGGACACTTCAGTCTAGTAGAGAAAGGTATAATACGGTCCAATGGCTGGAAGTTGAAGCGAAATAAATGCAGACTGGAAATAAGGTGTACATTTTTAACAGTGAGGGTAATTAACCATTGGCACAATTTACTACGGGTTGTGGCAGATTCTCCATCACTGGCAATTTTGAATCAAGCTTGGATGTTTTTCTAAAAGATCTGCTCTAGTTCCAACAGGAATTGTTTTGGGGGAGTTCTATGGCCTGTGTTATGCAGGAGATCAGATGAGATGGTGGCAATGGTCCTATCTGGCCTTGGAATCTAGGAATTGTGGGATGAGACCTTTACTTACTTGGGTTGGTTGGTGGTTTTTTGTTTTGGTTGTTTATTAACCTTGAATGTTTCAGGAAACCTGGCCGCAAAATGTTTGCAAAACTACAAGATACAACAAATAATGAAACACACTGAGGAATATTCCACAATGTGCACTGTTCATGCTGGTAGTAGTGAAACAGCCCTTAGGGATGTGGTCAAATCATTTCCTTCTCTGCAAAACGAGACAGGGGAGAGACAAAAATCTCTGTTTATTTTTGCTCTCTTGTGTATTTTATATTTTACACATACACTGACTTTCCTTTCACAGCATAATTATTGCACTCAAGCCAAACGCACATGACTTAGTCTATGATTAATCATTCAGAAGCCTTGAAGGGGGGAATTCCTACTGAACCATTGAAGGAAAAGGAAAAAAACTCAAACACCTGCTTTCCTCCTGGTGGTATTTGTCTAGCAAGAAAGTAGCTGTGCAGGACTTTTTGCAAGACTGTACTTGAGAGACAGACAGGCAGTTTGCAACATGATTGCTTCACTTTAAAATAAATTGCTGGGTCCACAACATGATGGGGCCAACTCTGCCCCTGCCCCCCCTCCCGCCCCACCGGCCAAAAAAAGAGAGAGAGAATCACATTAAAAAGTTCTGTTCATTTCTCAGGATTATTAATGTTATATATTAACGACTTTCTAATAATATTCTATGACGATTATTATTTGTATTATACTAATGCCCCAACTGAGATCAGGGCCCCAGTGTGAAAGGCGCTGTGCAAACACATTGTGAGAGACTGTCTAGCTCATAGTCTACATAGAAAGGACAGACAAAGGAAGAATTATCCCCAAGTTACAGCTGGAAGGCTGAGACAAGTGAGATTAAGGCTCCCATTGGGCTCTACCTGCACAGAGCTACTTGCAGGATGGGGGCTTAAGCAACTCAGGGCTGTGGAAGTAAATTAGTGACTGGGGGAAACTGAACTCGGAGCACCTGAGTCCTACTCCAGCACCTTAACCACAAGTTTACCCTTCTCATACTATGCTATACCCATAGAAATGTTTTCTTCATTGGGGAAAACAACTCCTTTTAGCACTAAATTCTGTCCTCCGATATGTTTAATATCCCATAAAAGTCAATGTGAGCTGTGCATGTATGAAGGGAGAATTAGGCTATGTACACACTACAGTTTATATCAGTATAAGTCATGTCGCTCACGGGTGTGAATAAGTCACCCGCCTGAGCAACCTAAGTTACACCGACCTAACCATCAGTGTGGACAGCGCTATGTTGGCGCAGAGAACTTCTCCCGTCAACACAGTGGCCGCCGCTTGCGGGGCCTGGAGTAATTAAGTCGATGGGAGAGCTATTTCCCATTGGCTTAGAGCCTCTGCATTAGCAGCACTACAGGGGCGCAGCTGTATCGGTGAAGTGAAGAAATCCTTGTGGAGGTCTGGCTCCCAATTCAACAGGGCAGCAAATTCTGCCCTCAGGCACGTCCATTCTGCCCTAGCAAACTCAATGGGATAATGCTGCTGTAACTGAGAGCATAATAATCTGGCCCCAATAATTTAAAACCTGTCTCCATGGTATTTTTATTGGACTGTACAGCATGAAATGCCAAAAAGTCCTATGTTGAGTTAAAGACTGACAGGCCCAAAATTGGACATACCCTAAAATATAACTTCAGTATTAATGTCCTCATGATCTTTATCACATCCTCTCCAACATACTGTCACACAGACACAATCCCAACTTCTCAGCTGGGCAAACGCCCCCCAAACACAAAGAAGGTTGATGCAGATAATTGGATGTATGGCAGGAATTACATAAAAGGCTGCAAATAATAGGCATTTTTGAAAGGCAGGGAGGGGTGGGTAAGTGAGGTATTTATGATTAGGAGAAAGTGAAAAGGGATTGGTCCTTTTTACAGAGACCCATAATATAAGCACAAAGGATACTTGATTAAAATTTATAACAGGTACGTTTAAATATAATAGAAAGAAATACACACACTATATAATCAGCCTATGGTGTTAACTTCCCTGGGAGAAGGTGCTCACAGAGTCATACACTGTACTTGAATTTAAAAGGGGAGGGACTGGATAATTTTAGAATATCTATAGTTATAACTTGCTAAAATAGGATGAATCCTATCCTTCTGGACATAATGAAGGAGTACGGAAGGAGTTTCCTTCTGCATCCCTCCTCTCTGGACAACACTGTACAATTGTTCAGGTGCATTGTTATCATCATTATTAATTTTCACATTTCTCTGGTGCACCAAGAACTGGCCACTGGCTATGGCTCTACATCAGATGTGATCAACTAATGGTCTGATCTGGTAGGAAAATGTTATATATTTCTGGTTTGAAGTTGCATAAGCACAAATACTGACTGTCCCACCCCCATTTTTTAATGCAGGGAGGGTACTGAAATATATACCAATCCTGTAGTGTAAAATGAACACACTTGTGAAAAACAAAGGTGATCAGTCTCAGCTGAGCCCTGCCAGTCTTGAGAGTACACCGGACTCTCGCTAGAACGCGAATTTGGATATAACGTGGTCACGGCCATGGATCCCAAATTTAAGTACAGTACATTTTTTTTGAGTT